CTTGGTCCACATACTTATAAAACATTTGAGTCTTTTTTGGCCTAATGATGATGCTACTGCTTACATCACCAAAGGTGGAACCACATTAGTGGAAGATTTCCAGGAAAAAAATGCCACAGTGGACAAAACCACAATGGTTAAGGATCAAGTGGCTGCCTTACTTTGAGCAACTACAGTAACTAAGGATTTTTAGGAATGCATAACAACCTTCCTTCCTCAGAAGTTTCTTTTCAGCCTCAAGGTTTTTGATGAGGTTTTGGGCATGAAAGCACATTCGCCTACTTTGGTTTTCCCACTCTTATACAGCAAACTTCTAGCACTCATGTAAAGGCCATCATTTACTAACTTCAACACTAATACTTTTATGGACATTTCAAAGAAACTGATTAATTTGATAAGTTTTAACTTGGCTCAAATGGAAGGGATTTTACTGAAAACTAACTGTTACTATGCATTTTTCCATGTAAAATTAGTTATAAAAACACAACAAAAACAACCCACAACAGGAAATCCAAAGTTTGGCATCCATTGGTCAAAGTTGCCAAGAGCTTTGATTTCATTTGACCTATATGCTAATAAACCTGAGTTCTCATGGGTCCCAGAGCTGTCTGGTGCCCCAAGTCTTTAATTTAAATCTATTTTGAATTTTGCTTCTGTTTTCCCCCACCTTTCAGATTAGAACAGGGAAGAGCTTTGCCCAACAGAACAGGTTGAACCTATACCAAAACCCCTTTAGACCAGATTTAAAAGATACAATGTAGCAAATGAGTTCTAACATGTTCCAATACCTTTTAGAGCATAGTGTAGACCAGACATCCTGATTTTAGACTCAATTAATGAGCTTGATTTGTGTCTAAGTGCCCCCCTCCAGACCAACTAAACCAGTTCAAGGGCATGTTAGAGGCAGGTGGTGATGGTGGTATCTACATACATGCACTTGCCAGCATATTCTAAACAAGCTTTCAAAGAGTTGGTCCTGCAGGTCTTACTCAGGGAAAGCTCCCACTGGCTCAAAATGGGAATTTCTCTCCCGCCCCTGGTAGAGGAGGTAGGTCTTTCCATGAATGAATGCTTCAGGAGGTATGAAACTATTTCTTCTGGCCAAGTTTATCTGTTGCTGAACATAGACCAATTACAATACAAAGAAATGGCACCTACCTGAGCATGTTCTAACTCAGGTGATCCTAGGTATCAGGAAAAAACCCCTGAGTCTGGATTAAATGAATGCTTTCAGAAAAAAGAAGCACAGGCGGTTTCCTCCGCCTCTACCCTGCACAAAGGCAAGAGCACTCCACACTTCAGTAAGCATACATTTAGAAGGCTGATGGAGGGGCCAGAATAACATTCTTTGCTTGGGAGATCTTCAAGTTATTTTAGGACTTAGCAGCAGCAATCAAGTTCCAAGGGGAAAAAAAAAAACCCCACCATCAACTCCCTGTAAATTAACCAAAAGACTTTGCGAGAGGGAAATAAAGCTTTTCCAGTTAAAAATGCAAGGGAAGAGCAAAAAGGTACAAACTGGCCAGAAACAGAGTTACTATGCCAGGAAAAAAAAAAGTTACTACAAAAAGAAAAAAAACAACAGCATCAACAAGAGGCATCTTACTGGGCAGGCCTGGTTTCTGTTTTAATTCAGTTAAAAATTCTGGGCTAGGGATAGAAATTACATATAAACCACTATAAGTGATTGGAAACTGGTTCAAATCCGTAATACAATAGAAATTCAGTGCACCATCAACCTGCCTTTCAAAACGCCTGAAACTGGTTTAAGATACGCCTGGATGGATTTAGCAGACTTAACTAATTTAGGTTAAATTGGTTTACTAAACTGCTGACCCAAATTCAAGTCAACTCACAGTCCCCCAGCACCCTAGGATGCTTTGCACCTCCTCTACAAGTCCCCTGTTGCAGGATGGGCAAGGCAGACTTGGCCCAAGCTGTCTGCTCCAGTTGAGCAGGAAGGCATGCTCTAGCATCCCCCCCCCCACAAATCTTTCCCCCGCCTGGGTTCTGGCCTGGGTCACTGCAGGCATGTGGCTGCATTTCTGGAATCAAAAGTAAAAATGCATGTTCATTTGCTTGTCAGTTCAATCTACCCATCTTAGACTAACTTGCAAAGATTGAATCGATTCAGTCTTGGGATTTTTGACTGTCTGTACTTAGCCCTGATGGCTCTAGAGATAGAAGTTTTTCTTCCTTGTTATTCTTGTAAGCCCTGAAGCACTCATTCTGCTATGGTGGGAATGATAGCTTTACTCTATTCTGGTTTGTCCAAAGGGTCTGCACCACCTCTGGGGGGAATCTATTCCAGGCCCTGGGGACTCAAACAGTAAAGAAGTCTGTCCTTATGTCCAGCCTAAAAATGGTCTTGGAGGAGTTTGTGACCATTGGAACTTGTCATCCCTTGGGGCAGTCTGGTGAACAAGCGTCCCCCCAGATCCTGATGCACACCCCTTATATACTTAGAGACTGCCACCAGGTCACCCCTGAACCTGTGCTTTTCCAGGCTGAAGAGTCCCATGGCTCTTAGCCTCTCTTCATAAGGCCTATTCTCTGATCATGTACATGGGCTCTCCTCTGGACTCTCTCAAGCTTCTCCACATCCTTCTTGAATTGTGGAGCCCAGAATTGGATGCAGTACTCCAGCTGCAGCCTCACCAAGGCCGAGTTCAGCAGAAGGATGACATCCTGAGATTTATCTGAGAAGCATCTATGGATACAAGCCAGAGTTTGGTTTGCTTTACCAGCAATGTCATCACATTGATGGTTCATGTTCATCTTGTGGTCAATCATGACGCCCAAGTCTCTTTTGGCCATGGTGCTAGTGAGCATAGCACTGCCAAGCCCACAAATGTGTTGCAGGGTCCCCTGCCCACCCAAGGTGGAGTACCTTGCATTTGTCGGTATTGAATCTGCCCACTTTTTGAGCCTATTCAAGTCAGCCTGGATCACCAGCCTACCCCCCGGTCATGGATGCCCTACTCCAAAGTTTAGTGTTATTGGCAAACTTGGCCACTCCACTTCCGACACCAGTATCCACATAGTTGATAAAGATGTTAAAGAGAACAGGGCCAAGGACAGAGCCTTGGGGGACACCACTGGTCATGGAGCACCATGATGATTTACTTCCGTCAACCACCACTCTCTGGGTCCAGCCTTGGAGCCAATTCCCCAGCCATCAGACTGTGATGTAGCTGAGGCCACAGTTGGCCAATTTTACCAAGAGGAGATCATGAGACACCAGATCAAAGGCTTTTTTAAAGTCCAGATACATGATGTCACTTCTCCCTTGTCCAGGTGGTATGTCATTAATTTGGGAATAAAGGAATTATGCTTCCCCACACAGATCAACCCCAAATTAAAACTATGGAAGTTTTATTAATATGTATCAAGTTGTGAGTTGGAAACTCAGGAGTCCAGCTACCCTCTGCTGATTTGGCAGGTCTGGCAAAGGCAACCCATTTTCTTTACTTGCGTGTGAATGTCTACAAACAGCAAAACAGATACGGAACTCTAGAGTTAAGCTGTTAGTTATTATTTAGACTGAATTTCATTTTATTGGGGATATGAGCAATATATTTTGTGCAAGCTTCATGACCCTCTCAGATCTCATAATATCCTCAGACAAAACAACAATATGCATTAACCTAAATTTGCTCAGCTATGTGACGCTCTCCAAAACCCCCCGAAACAAATCCCCAAACCAAAAAAAAAAAAAAAAAAACCAAAAAAAAAATTTTTTCCCAAACAAAAAAAAAAAAAAAAAAAACCAAAAAAAAAATTTTTTCCCAAACAAAAAAAAAAAAAAAAAAAACCAAAAAAAAAATTTTTTCCCAAACAAAAAAAAAAAAAAAAAAAACCAAAAAAAAAATTTTTTCCCAAACAAAAAAAAAAAAAAAAAAAACCAAAAAAAAAATCTTTTCCACATGCACAAATCAGAAGAGTTACAATTAATAAAACCTAAGCTTTTAGAGTACGGAAAAAGATCAAGCGAGGAAGTTTAGGAAGATTCTAAATACCCTTTAGGTTTATTCTCTAAACCTAGATGTCTGAAATGTAATGCTAGACATTACAAAAAGCAGTCAGAGGGATTGTGCCAGACTTCCCAAGTACGAAACTGTTCTGAAGCCACAGAACTGTAGCAGGGAAAATCCTGACCAAACCTAGGTACCAAAAGCCAATTCATCTGTTAAACAGCTTACAATTGAGAAAAAAAAATTAAGTCCATCATTCAGTCAGCAGTACAGTGGTTGTCTTAACAGGTTTAAATTATATTTGCAAAAGCCAATCCTAATAATTTCATAAGAGTAAGACTGATCTCTCCTGTAAGTAGTCATTACCAATGCAAGATTTAATTTTAGATTTAAATTTTTCTTTAAAATCTGGAAGAGATCAAAATTTCCCCCTTCCAATGTATAAATGAAACAAATACAAGTGTGCCATTGTATGTAGGTTGTTTTCATAACTGGGGATATTGGCATTGTACATACACCATCTCTGAATTACTTCATTTTTCTGAACTTGTCTATTCTCTCTAGTATTACTGTTGTGATGTTATGGAACAAGGGAAGTGAACAGTTAATATGAAACCTGCAAAAAATTAAGACATCTTCAGACTATGCTAATCAAAAGGAAATAAACTCCACTACAGATTCAGTGCATAAGAACTGGGTTTAAAGCAAGCCCACTAAAGAGGGCAAGCCACAATGTTGAGGAAGCCAAAGAGCTTTCTGAAACTCATTTACCTGATCTTCTTGTGGAGGTAAAGCTTTCCAGATAAACGTAGCTTATATAATCAATATTCTACTATATATACACATATACACATTAATAGATCTGTAATTATTGTAAATACAATTCCTAGAGCATGAAGTGTTTTCTTTTTTGAAGCAAGTTGTCTCAACATCTCATATTTGTATGCTAGCAAGTTGAGCAGCAAGTACCCTCCTCAGAAAGGAAGTCAGTTTCACAGCACAATGTTCACTAACAACAGCTCTTACCTCTGAGGTTTGCGAATATCCCAAAGTCCCACGCCCTCTTTGGAGTTAGCAGTAGCCAATAATCTGGGTTCTACTGGGTTAAACATCACACTATGAAAAGCTGAAGGGTAGTTTGCCAAGCAGAATGGCTCTGTTGAAAAATTAAATTTTCAGAAATAAGAACAATCCATGCCTACGACAATTTGATACAATGGTTTAGTGACTTGCTATATTTCTACAGCAAGGTAAGAAAATTGAGACATTTCCCTGTAGTTTAAATCCATGCATCCCATAAGGTAACTGATGTTTTTTAATTCTCCCACATATCTACTATCTTTACCCAATATGGAAAAAAATCCAATATGACATTTAATAGAAATAAATAAATCACTCTGCATAAAGAAGGTTAACAGAAGAACTAAAAGGTCTTGCCATTTATACAGACACACTATTTAAAGCTCCTTAAGACAGAAGGATGAAATCATTGGTTTGGGGAAACAGTTCATAAGCTATGGACCCTTATGGTTTTTTTGTATTTTTTTGTATTTTTTTTTTTTTGTAGTGGAGCTTGCACCTTGAATAAAACAGAAACTTCATGGTGACTTTCCAATCCATGTGCAATTACTCCAACTAGTCCTTAAAGCAGCCACAGAAACTGCTCACACAGAAGAGAAATATTAATAAAAAGAATGATAAGAGGAAAAACAAAAAAAAAGATCACAAGAAAGTAGGGCTGGAAGGGACCTCACGAAGTCATCAACTCCAATCCCCTGCTTAAGGCAGGATCCCTAAATAAACCAATCCCAGCCAAGTGTCTGTCTAACCTGCTCTTGAAATTTCCAGGGATGGATATTCCAGAACTTCTCTAGGTAACCTGTTCCAATGCTTGACCACCCTCAAAGTCAGAAAGTTCTTCCTAATCTTCAACCTATGTAAAGAGAAATTTCATGGAGTTCATTTTTCCTCTTTTTTTCCTAACAGTTAAATTATGTTATGGATTGAGAAACATTTATCCTGCTTTTTGTAAAATGATACTTTTTTGTGTAAGCAGTTTATGCAGTTGTTATAAGGACTAGGTGGAGTAATTACAAATGGATGGGAAGGTCTCCATGAAAACTTCTCTGGTTTGGGAAAAACAGTTAATAAGTTAGGGACCCTCACAATATCTCTTTATTGAAGATGTAAATCTCCACTATGAGGAAAAAATAATCCAGAAGCTTGCAGATATCCAAAATTGTGTGATGCTTCCTAGTGTAGGCCTCAAATTACACTGCCTTCAAACATACCTTCCTCAATTCCCCCTGTAGAGTTAATGCTTTTAGGGCCTACTTCGTGTCAACCTAGGTGGCAGATCCTTACCATACTTTTAAATGATGTAGTACTCAAAAGGCCTCAAGCTGAACAAGTGCATGTTGCAGTAGACAGCACACAAGCACTGCCTACTTGTTCTAAACTTACCATCTAAAAAGGTAACAGGTGCTTGAGAAATATGTAAAATACAGATAAGGCAACAAATGAAGTGACAGACAGACTCCATGCCTGCCTCCTAAAAAAATATCAGTGTTTGTAATACAAGGGCTCCCAATGTTATGAAAAAAGTTTCTTTATCAGAGTTGATCACACCCTTCTTAAAATCCCGTTTTCCCACTATTGTTTTCCTATCTCACCATCCCTCCTCCTGTACATCCCTTTCCCTATAATCTCCTAACCAAAACCTTGATCTAGCCAATAGCTGCTGGACACAAACACTTTCAAGATACACATGCCCCAGACTCAATGATCGACAAGTACTACAAGCTTCCATAACAACTCAACATTAAACATATTCATAGAATAAATACAGAAGTGACTCCTGTACAAACTAATATCTCGGTTTCCAGCACCTTCTTTTCTGTGGAGGGCTTCGGATCAGCTTAAGCTCAAGAACTAAAAAAGGACCCAGAGGTGTTAATCACCAGGGTCTGTGCCCTGAGAGGTAGCAGTGGCAGCAGGGACTGGGCTGGTTCCAGCCCCTAAAGCCAGTCCAGCGCAGAGCTGCCACAGCCCTGCCCAGGGGGCGGCAGGACACACCACTGAGGGACCCGATACGGGCCAGACTTGGGCCACCCCTACTCTAGATCATCACAGTATTTAAGTCTTGCAGGTATTTTCTGCGTAATATCTAGAATATAGTCTCTCTTATTTACCAACACAACTAGAACGTTCATTCAGACACTCCTCATATCATCTTGAGTTTCTCAGTGGCCTTGACAACTGCTTGTCCTGTTGGTATTTATTCAGAGCAGTGAGACAAAGATGGTTTTCCTAACCTACTGCTTTCATCATGTCAACCTTCTCTCTGTGCCCCTCCACTGTGCCCCCTCCCTACTCCACTGAATCAACAAAAGCTGCTTGTCTTCACTTTCAAGGACCTTCATGTCATATTCTCTCTGTACCATCTCTCGTGCTGTTTATAGAGAAGTCTACTCCCGTCTCTGGCCAGCCCAGGGTGCCATTCTCCTTTACCCCCTTGCTACATTTTCTAACAAGTATCTATGCATTTTCCATGCTGCTCTTTATGTTCAAAGTTAGTTCCCCACAAATATCAACAGTACTAAATTTGTTTTTTTGTTCATTTGTTTTTATGATGTCTACAAAAACTTGACACTAGCTTGCGTATTGGTGTGCTGAGACCACCTTTTAGAATAATAATGCTGTCCAATTATTTCCATGTTCTTTTACATCTGCCTGTATCTATCCATTCCTGCTCTCACTTACATTTTTAAGTTATTTGAGGCAGGGACTGTCTTTTTCCCACCCCCATGCGTTTTTATTGTGGTCAGCACAGTAGAGCTCAGGTCTGTGATTAGGGCTGCTAGATTTTAGGCCAATACAAATACTAATTGCCAGGAGAGAGAGAAGAGGGACTGATATTTGTTCCAACAAGTCTACCCAAAGGGACTAAGGCTGGATCTGGTCAAAACGTAGTTTCAAAAGTAGCCTCATGGTAAGGATGATCCTTTAAGTTCGCATCATCAAATCAGGTCCCTGCTGTGATATACAATGTTGAATCATTAAAAAAAGAAAGCTCCTACTGAGAGACGTAGACCCCATTCACTGAATGTAGACACTGAAACAGGAACAGAATACCAAATGAAGGAGCTGGGAATGTTTCCGAATAGCAAATAGATTTACATTTAATGAATACTTATTTATCCAAATTTCCTTGACCTACATTATAGATATAGTAGTGTAATATGGAAGGCAATTTGTCATAATTTACAAAAGCATGACAACTTGTCTAATTAAAACTAGATTATACCATCCAAATTAATGAGATACACCACTTTCACAAAGAAAGAGGAGATTCTTATTTTTGTTATTGGCATCTATGCTTTGTAATGGTTGCAGCTCATATGCTCAGTAATAGCACATGGGTTGTTTCTTGAGAGAAGTTCAACACTACCTCCACCAAAGCCAAAGAAAATAAGTTTCAATGGGTGGGAATGGAGAGGGGGAAAAAAAAACCCTACAAAAGACAAACTAAGCAAGAGACGTTATTTGGAACGGGAGAGGATCAAAGTGGATGGAATGCCCCCTTAAATATTAAATGGAATATTTAAGAGCATCTAACAGTTTATTTGTGACCTGTTCTTAAATAATTTCTTCAGACATTTAGGGTTAACTTACTATGCTTGCACCAACAGGCACAGTACCCACTCTTATGAATAGTTCTATTCAAGGTAACAGGATTACTTATATTGGTGAGCACTCTACTCTGTCAGAACTGTTTGCAGTCAAAAATGCTGACTATGAACTATCACATGTTACTATGCAAATCTCCACACAAAATACGTTATCTGGTGGTCAAGTAACTGGGAAAGACTGTCAAGATGGTCAAGCTGAAGGGAAGTTATTAGTGGAGCGCTTCAAGGACCAGTCTAGAGACAGAAAAATATTTACACAGGATAACTACAAGCCACCACTATTATGTGATCATGATTAAGGCAAGTGTGGTTCAAGGGTTTATTGGGCTAAGTATTTCCAGTAGAGATAGGGAAATATTAATGCCATTATGCAAGGTACTGTCGCACAGCATTCCAGGTGATGTCATACGATTCTGGGTCAAGAGAGATTAATTTAAAAAAGGGAAGAGAGATGCAAAGAAAACCTAGCAGAGTCATCAGCAGAATGGAGAACCTAAGAAAGTTTGGCCTAACATAGTGGTTCTCAAGATTTTTAGACTCAAAGGATCCCTCCATAACTTTGGTGAATTGAGTGGCACCTCATGTCAAAAACCGATGTATTACTATGTTTACATTCTTGCAGAGGGACCAGGCAGTGGGGGTGGGAAAGCAGTCAAGTAGGGAGAGCCTGAGCATGCCTTATATGCTTATCTCCTCACCACCTAGTCTGAGTCTGCTCTTATCTGCTTATCTCCCAACAACTTCTGTTGTACTCCTTTCAATGGATCTCCAAGAACGAGGTTGAGAATCACTGGCCTGGCAAAACAAGACTGAAGAGATACTGTTGCTTTGTATAAATAGATCTGGGATAAACAGTAGGAAGGAAACGGCTATTTAAAATTAAGGACAATGTTGGCACAAGAACAAATGGAAATAAACTGGTTACAAATTCAGGTTGGAAATTGGGTGGCATTGTCTAACAGAAGAGTGAGGTTCCAGAATAGTTCTCCATCGCATAGAGCCTACAAAACTAGCAAATTTTAACATGAAATTTGATTGGTTTGTAAAAAAAACCTTACATGATGTGGTTACTTGCAATACTTGGAATCTGAAATCAATGGCCCGGAAGGTCTCCAACTCTTAGACTGCTATATTCATTCAATTTGGTGCATGTGCAATAAATCTAGTTACCCCAAAGCAGAGCTATTTGAGATGTATTATTAAGGAATACAACTTCAAAGTTGAGAATAAAAATTAAAAAAAAATAAAAAGGTTTTGCATACACCAAAATGCAACAGAATATTTTGTATGAAACTGCTTTTTACACATTTCTCCTCTTCCAAGTAATGTTTGATTTTCAAACTCTCTTTACTGTGCAGCGTAGATTTTAAATGCATTAGTAAACATTAAAAACTCTATAAAGTCATGCAAGTAACTATAGAGTTGGAAGACAATACAGGACCCTGTACATAGTGGCTACATAGCTGGTGTATGGTCATACCGTCCTGGGTATGCAGTTGGTCATGCAGCCTACATTAGCTCAGGGTAAAAGGAGTGCTCAGGGGGGTAAAAGGATGACAAACTAGGTCACCACTAACCAAGCTATATGAAGCACTTAGCTTACTAGCCATATAATAAATCCCTTTCCTCCATGCATTCCTTAACCACACCTTCTATCTTCCAAAAAGTATGCTGGCCAACTTCATGTTCTCCTTTCATGCTCCAGAATGTCCCACCACTGGACCTCACAGCTACCTGAGCAGTTCTTAGGTAGCTTTAGGGGGTTGGAGTTCAGAAAGTCTGTGGTTACTGTTTTCATTGGAGTATAATTTAGTTTTGAAAACAAAACAAACACAACCCTACTTTTTGAAAAGGAAACACTTAAATTGTACCACTACATTAAGGTACCATGTTTCCTTAAGTACAAGAACAATCTCTTCAAGTAACAAATGTTTTTTGCATTGTCATGTTAAATTCATAGATCACATGGCAACTTGAAAATATATTGAGAATCTACATAAAAAGTTAAATAGTACGAGATTAATGACTTTTAGTCATCTTGAAGATAGATGTTTAGTTTGTTCTGTATGCACCGTTACAGGCACTCCTAAATGGGTTTCAAGTCTAGCATTGTCTACACTGTAGAAATGCACTCTTAAGTGTGGTTAAAGGAGCAGTAAAGGCATTACAATCAGACTTTAAACTCTGCTTAGAAGATCACATTTCTGTACTAAAGCCTTGAACTGAACTCTTGCTGGCTACTCAACATAATAGATGTTGGAACTGCAATTACTTTCTACTATTTTAACCAGTTAGCCAACCCAAGCTATGAATGCACTCTCTGCAGTATGGACATATTTCAAAAAAATCAATTTAGTTTAGGGCTGTGGTTCTGAAGCAGGGTGCTGCGAGACCCCCTCAGGGGTGTTGGGACACAGGTGCTGCTGCAGCAGCCACCAGGTAAAACTGCTCTGTGCGCAGGGCTGTGGCATGTGCACACATATCACCTGCATGAAGGTTATTCAATTACTCTACAGCAGGCAGGAGAGATGGCTAAGGCTGCAGCCCTTCCTGGTCCACACCCCCTCAGTCTCCTCCCAGAAACCAAAACACATGGGACAGTTCCACCTGTCTAGTAGGCATTTGTTTCCATGAGACATTATGCAGGATTGGAACAGGAATGCAGAATGAGACAGCTCTCCTGCCTGCTTCTGGGTTAGAGAACCTTAATGCAGGAGAAGCATAAACACATGCCACATCCCTTCCTGTTCTGGCTGTGTACCAGGTACAGAGCCAGTTTTACCTGGAGGTGGTTGCACCCAGTTGAGAACCACTGAGCTAACTTGGGTTTAACAGTGTCTCTCACCCAGGGGTGTCGCCACATTTCGAAAATGTTAGAGGGGAGCCCCGAGTCAAAAAAGTTTGAGAACCACTGTTCTATGGTTTAAAAAAATGCAAGCAAGAAGGGTGGTACTTGAAACTAATTGCAGCCAATGACTGCAATTAATCTCAGAAGTAAAGCCTACCAGATGAACTAATCCAATGTATTCTCCCTATGAAGCTACCAAAAGGCATGCTTATGTAATAACCTCTTGCAACCCAGGGGCAGGTAAGCAGAGAAGAGCAAGGCCACTTCAAGTCCAGGAAAACCAGACCCAGGGAGCTGGGTTGAACTAAGGCTCCCAACCTGCTTTGGGAGCTGACAAAGTTGCCTCCAGCCAAGAGGAGAGGGAGTGGGCAGGGCTATGAAAAGCCCATGAAAATGAAGAACACGGGACAGGTTGAACTACAGCTTCCCAGGCTGCTTTGAGAGATAGCAGGAGGGGAAGTGCGAAAGATGAGTTGTAACATGGGAGCATTTGGAGGACTGACTTCCCAACAAGGAGACCCCAGCAGGACCTGAGTGAGTAGCACTGACAATGCTGCAGAAACTAGTGTGATCAATGCAACTATGGGGTAGTGGAAGTCCTTGTGCCATCTGGGATAGCTTAGGTTGTGCACAAGGTGAAGATTCTCACCCTGGAGGGTCCTTGTGAGACTATTTGGAGTTGGGGTTTTAAGATGCACTGTTCAAAGGGGTAATTGTATTAGCAGGTTTCCATGCTGGGTTGCAGCTTGCTCTTTGGATAAATGCGACTTATTTACACATAAATCTTCCTATCCTCCTGTTAAACTGAGGTACTGTTGGGGGAAACTAAGTCAACAATGCCACACAACTGCATCTGTAAGCAAGAAGGGTTACACATTTTTATATAATTTCTTTATAAGTGTAAGAAAACTGTTCGTAAACAAACAGCAGCTCTACACTAAAGAAAATTGCATGCAAGGGGGAATGATGATGAAATTGAAGTGAAGACAAAAGATTAGGAGGAGCTCTCTGACTACAAGAGTGGTCAGACATTGGAACAGGCTACCTAGAAAAGCTGTGGAATCCCTATCCCTGGAAATGTCAACAGCAGGTTAGACAGATACATCACTAGGCTGGGTTAGTCAAGGATGATCCTGCTTTGGGGAGAAGGCTGAACTAGATGACCTTGTGAGGTCCCTTCCAGCACTACTTTCCTACGATGACAAAAAAAAAACCCAGTTACTAATAACCCAAATTAAGTTTCTAGTATGCCTTTCCCCCCATAAAAAATAATCAAAAGCAAAACAAAACAAACACATTAGGAAGGACTTGAGAATTCATACTAATAATGATGGATTAAATACGCTACAAGATGCTGTAGCTATCCCAAACCAAACTTTCTAATCCCAGGAAATATAAATTCTAATACTGCCAGAAATTTGTTAAAACATGACAATACTCAATTTGGACACTTAAGCAGAGATAGTATGCAAGAACTATACCACTAGGAATAAGGCACTCTAGGACTAATCTGGTTTTTTTTTTTTTTTAAAGATACATGAAACTTTACATCTTGTGCCTTTACAAAGGACAAAAATAAAGGGGGAACTGCTCACATACAGCAGCTCATAGGACACAGAAGCCCCCCGAAAGCATGCAGGAAAGTGTATGTGTGTACTCATTCATACACACAAAAAGGTATTTGAGAGTTTAAAAACAAAATAAACAAACAAACCCCTACACCTACTTCAGGTTGGCATTCCCATATTGTTACAATAATTCAGATGACTGCTACATAGGACATGACCATAGAAGTCATCCAGTGCACTCATCCTTCTTCATCTTCTAAAACAAGAGCTTTTTTATACCCAAAAAATACCAATTCCTAAATTACTCTTTTCTGCCTACAGCTCTCACCTCCATGGGGAGACTCTCTGATGTCCCAAATGAGAACCCGGCCATCGTCAGATGAGCTGGCAAAGATGTTATCATTCACTGGACTCACTGAAAGGCCATACACTGCATCTTCATGGGCAAACACATCCAAGGTCTCAGTGCTGAAAGAGAAACACATGTCTTATTTTCCCTTCTCTTGATACATACATTCATATACACACACACATTTTGGTGGGAGAGCCAGGCTGTTTTGGAAGGCAAGTAAGATTTGTAGCCATGGTCCTGAAGAGGTGTTCATTTCTACCGGCAAGAATTTCAGAGAAATCCGTACCAACAGAAAAACAGCCTGGGGGCAGGAGTGCACACATTCCAGCCCCCTGGCTGGAAAGCTCATCTATGCAGCTCTCCAGCCAGAGGGCATTAGTCTGCTTCTCCCTGGGCCGAGTCTGCCCTTAAGGGAGCTCATTACTTGATAAACCATTCTCTCCCTGCCTGGGTAGGGAGCAAGCTGTCAACAGGCAGCCCCAGGTTTTTAACTGGCCAGGTGTGTAGCTTGGGGAACAGGGTACAGGGAAGTGGGGCTGGGGAGAGCCACCTTGACCCCAGTTTTGAGATCCCCAGCTTTTAAAACTGCTGCAGGTCTGCCCAGCTGGGCTCTCAGCCTTGCAGAAGATCTCCCTGGCTCAGCACCCAGCCTCAAAGCCTTTAAACGTCTGTAAAGGGAGCAGTGGGGTACCTCCCCTCTACAGCCTCAGAGTGGGGACCCCAACCTAAGGAGCATGAAGGGAGCAAGGATCGGTTGCTCCTTTACTCCCACTGAGCAGGAGAGGACAGAGTGCAGGGGGCATCTGGGCAAACCCCCTAACTACTCCTCAGACTGGGGACCCTAGGCTGTGGGCTTTACCCTACAGCTCCCCTCCTGGACTAGACCTCGCCTTCCAGATCAGACCAGGAAGGAAATGTATAAACATTCATTCTTGCGAAACAGTCTCTCTTGCAAGGGAAGTCTTCCAGATTAACACCTGGATATGGCATGTTTTCCATACGAGAAAAATCAATAAATGCTTGTAGTTTGTATATGGGAGAACTCCAGTTCTCTTGGTAGAAATATAATGCCTGTCTGTGGCCAAAAGCTGTGTTATTTGGCAAAGTTTAGTAACAATGATAATGCTGCTCAAATCAAAACATAAATGTTTGTTACGATATTAAAAATATAATCGTGTACCAGACACCATCATACCAAGACAAAAACAAAAACACTCACATTACACACATGCTATAAACTTTGAGAATACACAGATGTTTACAAAAATGATCTTGCTTTAGAGAAGTGTTGCAGTGAGGTAAGCTTCTCTTTCTTTTCATGTTTCAAAAGTTTACAAGCAACTGTTTCATTTTTAGTATTTCTCTTGCTCATTTAAGAAGGTACATAAGATACTATAAAATGAGTTAATAGGATTAAACCCATCAACATTATAATACCAGGGATAAACCTGGCCTCAATTTTACCAAACAGTGCTACTGCGGCACCAGGACCTATTAAATGAAAAGAACAAAATGCAGGAATGGAGCCAAAGGCAATAAGGGAAGATGCGTTTTTCAGGAGTAGGAGACTAAATACATCAATATAAAATAACTTTCGGAATTCTGGAGATCAAACCCATTTCAGAAAGGTGATCTTTAAGTTGAGTTTGTGCCTTTCTCTGCTTTTTTGAATGTGTGAAAATATATTAAAGTGTTCTGGTTTTAGTTTTTCCTGCTTGACTTTTAATGTAAAAGTATCATCAGTATAAAAGATCTGCTCTCCCTTGTTTTTGGAGGATTTTCTGGGACTCTGAGGATAGCTAAAAAGTCAAAGCAGGTGTGGATTCTTTAACAAAAGAGTCTTTTAACTTCAATGACTGATAAACATTGCGGTAACAAAAAAGCAAGAGGTTAAGCAGTGTTCACTGCTCTGCTTTCCTGATGGCTCTTGTGATGCAATGTGACTATTTCTCTAAGCCTGAAAGAGTCTTCCACTGTAGAAGAGACGTAAATTTTACATATAAAAACAAGCAGGAAAGAATCCTAAGCCAGACCCATGGCCCTCAAGCATACAGTAGGGCTGGGGTGGCACAGTGGCCAGACTCGCTTCCTGGCAACCCGGGTGGCGGCAGTGGCTCCTTCCAACTGCCACCGTCTCCAACACCACCAGCCCCAGCCCCACTGCCTGGACACCTCAGCCCATCCATCCTGCACCCACCAGCAGGGGTGGGACCCATGGGGGTGGGGGCGCATGGCTAGGCAAACAGGATAGGGCTGTGGCTGAGCAGGGAGCAGCGTCATAGCAGGATGGGCAGGTGGAGCTGGGATCATGGGGCAATGACAACGTGGGGCTGTGGCTGAGCTGCAATCTGTTACCCATATGCCCTTGCCCATGGAACCAGCACCCATCACAGGACCACATGGGGAGTGGATTGTGGCTCTGCCCTGGGTCCCCGGCCCTGCGCTGTCACAGCCCTATGATCCCAGCCCTGGCCCTGCCTGCCCCAGATACTGCTCCATGCCCAAGGTCCCATCTCAGCTGCCTGGCTGAGTGCAAAGCAAAGCCACTTAGGGAGTTTTGGTGAACTGCTGCCTGGGGAGGAGAGGGGTGACGACCTGGCCTACAACAGCTCTCCAAAACTCCTCAAGTGGCCCTTGAACTCAAATAAATTGCCCACCCCTGTCCTAGCCTTTATTATTATACAACAGGGGAGGAAAAAAAAGGTAGAAACTCAGTTTGCTCCCCTTGCCAACTTTATAGGTCACCTTAAAAAGAGAGGGGAAAAGGAATGCCTAGCTATGACTGTTAAAAATCTTGCTATTTTAAAAGGCCAGAAAGTACTTATTTTAGCCTACGGTTTGCTGTAATTTTTAGGGAAGAACCCAGATGCCATCCACCTGGCAGACACTCCAGGGCACAGCAAATCCCTCAAGGAGCTCATGTCTAAAATTAATGCAATGTCCACATTATAGTTGCTTCCTAAATGAAAGAGCTATTAATTGTTTCATGGATAATTAACCTGAAGCTTTGATAATTTAGAGGCCAAGAACAGAGAGGCAAAAAGTGCCACTTAAATGCATGCAAAGGAAGTTGACAGAACTGGTGTATGCACAGGCATCATTAAAGAAAATGAAAGTGTTAAGCAGAGTAAGATTCTTGAGGATTACATCAGCATTAGGATATCAGACTAATTGGGTTCCCTGCAGAAAATGAAGCAGATAATTGTACTGCAGTAGTAAAAGAGGGCTTCAAACTTATTTCAGCTGGACATGATGTATCCGAAAATCAAATGTGTTATGAATGCACAAAGTTAAAGGGCTGTAATTATAATCCTTAAGGAGAAAAAACATATGAACATTTTTCTGTGAAAGAGCCAGCAGCATAAAGTTGTTATAGAAACTAATAGAGAGGATGCATAAACCCTCATCTATGAGCTTCTGACACTCCCAGACTTAAAAGCAAACAACACTGAGGGGAAGGGAGGCAAAAAAAGAAAAAAAAAAGTGACAGACTTTATTCCTACTAGAAATGTAGCTGAAGACGCAGCTACTATGGTCTCCCCACCTCCCCCCCACAAATTTCAGTTAAGACACTTAAGAGAATTTTGTTATTTTGTGACTCATGCAACATAAACATTTTTGGACAAGCTAAGCAAGAAATACTTCAAATCATTATACAGGGCTAACCAGGGCTCAGGAAACACAAAGATTTAAGGTTTTATATTTCTCTCTGTTTTTATACCTGTAGTTGTTCTTGCCTGGTCTTTGTTTTAATTTTTCTTTAATGCAAGTTAGACACAATTGCTTCATAGTCTATGGGACTTAAACAGCAGGTATGGACAAAAAAAATTACTTTTGATTTCTGAGGTATAATTTTCAATCTAAATCATACAGGTTCTCTCAGAGGTGGATTTGATCAACTCTGATACTTAGACACAGATCCCTAATTATGCTTAATTGGGCTAACCCTTCTAAGCAGGTGGCCATTCAATAGGATCTATAAAGACCAATTTGCCTTATTTTGATGTTTTGGCACAAAGTGACCAGAAAGAGAGAATCAAGCCATTGTGGACAGTTTTTAAGAGCATTTTAGGTACCTGAAGATTTAGATTAGAAGTTTAACTCCTTTTCATTTTAGTGGATTCAAATCCAGCTAGGTGCTAGAAAGCCATTAAATATCTGGCGCCTTGAACCTAAAGTTCCCCACTTAAAACATATTATGCTTTTTTCAGAAGAGCCTCTATATTTATAAAGAATTGCCTTCTTGTTCTGCAAGATATGAATTACAAAACTTAAAAAAAAAACCCTAAAAAATACAAGTCAACATTTTTACTCCAAAGTTTCCCAAGGTTAAATTTAAAATAAAGTAGTCCTTGGGCTTAATACAATCTTTGCTTTCTTTATAGGTTATCAGCTGGAACTAGAATTGCCTCCAGCGACTAATGTTAGGAAGCTGACAAAGGAGTGGAAACACAAACTATGTATTTACCTTTCAACATCATGGAGTATAACTTGCTCATCATTGCCTATAAAGAGAAATATAAACACTTAACATCATGTACTGGTGATTAACACTTTATAATGAAAAAAAACGGAAAAAAACCCAAAAACAATGACCGCAATTTCTAATTTGGAAGATGAAAGTACAGTGGACAGGAAACCAGCTTGGTTGCCGAGTGGTCAGCACCCTGCTCAGTGAGAGGCTGTAGGTCAGTCTCCTTGTGTATAGCACTAGAGGCATGCAATCTCAATGAGGAGGCAGTGTGCCTCACAATGCTCAACAATCAATTTTTCAGTTCACTAAGGAGTATTACTGATAATTCTTTGTCAGTTCTGAACAGTTTTGGTGTATGGGAGGTGGGGAAGAGAAGGGAAATCTTCAGGTTTCATAAAAAGCTTCTTGCCCCTTACCCCTTTCTGCCTTATAAAGAAAGCTTTAATTGTCAAACTAATTTCAAGAGTAAAAGAAAGGGCAGAAAAGATGCTATCATGGTTTTAATGCCTAAGCCATGGATTCAGTGCACTTGGCTTGTCAGCAAAACAATGTTCAGTGTTGCTGCAATCACAGTCATGTAGCTGCACCCACACTACAGTATTGTTTTGTTTTTTTTTAATTAATATGAAAATAAGATAAACCTCCTTTGATCACATCCTTTAAATGGGATTCTGACTCTTCACATGGCTGCAGCCACAAAAAAAGAAAAAGCATCTAGTTATTTGGACCCCAACTTCTAATGCTGGGAGGTTGTTCCCTACCAAACCCCAGTCTCCATACCAAGCACTAGCATACACCTTTGGCACTTTTTCATAGGTAGGTAGCACGACATGCAGTCACTATTTATTTAGAGGAGAAAGGTACAAAAAAAAAAAGGATGAATCCTTAGTCCTACCAATTTCATCCATTGTATTGTTGTGATGCCATCTACTGAATGGTAAAGCTCCCACATCATGCATAAGCATAAGTGAGGATGTGGGGAGGTTTCAAAAGGAACAAGAATACATAAGTTCTTATGCGTTTTAGATAAAGAGGACTTGGTTTTGGTTTGCCCTATATGTTTCAAACTGCTTGCTTTCAAACAAGAAACTTGAGAAAGTTTACCTCCGACTAACAGGATGAAAGATTTATATACATCTCCACAAGTGAGATAATCATGCTAGCCTTAGAGTATTGCAATGATTTTTATTTCCCGTTACAATAATCAAGCTACTTATACATAAAGGGCAAAGTTTATAGTAATCAAAACTATACTAACTCCGTGAAATTACAGCAGTGAAGAACATAGTCTAGATTTTCCAAAGGAAAGAACAAACACTTATATATGCATACAGATCAACTGGAGAGGAAACCATTATCTTAAGTCCGCTAGCAGTTAAGGAACCAGCTTTCTGTTCCCTTCACAAGCTACAGGACTGAAGTTAGAAAGCAACCCTCACCCCCACCCCAAGACATAGCTTGTCTCCATCTCTGGTCTTTTGGCATAGTGGGAGAGACAAGGGGTGGGGACCAAGGCTTGGTTACCAGCTGATTGGTTTACATGGACATCCTAATTAGTGCTTATAGTGAGGACTATCCCTGAAGGACGTATCACTATGGTTCAGCTAAGTAGCACTGGATTACACTGTAATATTTAACCAGAGAAGGTCCATAATGTTTAGTGAATAACCTGGGAAGAGTTCTGCATATCATTCCTCCATTTCGTTCACAACATCTTCCTTTTGATAACACTGGTTATGAGCAGGAAAAGCCAAAAAGTATCCACTATTCTTTTTTAATCATACCAGTGGGGAAAGCACACCGCACACACAGACAGGTCTGGCTCGATAGCTTATGCACCAAATTTATGCCAGGCCTTTATGAAGCTACAAATTCAGTTCTTTCCAGGGTTTGTTCAGTTTTTCCATCTACCCAAGGCAGAAAACAGATTACCATGAAGTTATGATCTTTTGGATATTAAATTGAACATACGCTCATATTTTATATATATGCAGATACGGAAGGGTCTGTAGCACTTTCATATAAGAAGTGGCTTGCCTGGTTTGTTGGTTCAGTTCTCTCTAGAGACTACTGTGCTGCTCTTGCCCTCCACTTTACAAACAGCTAAACAGAATATATTTTTTTTATATACACATGCACACACATACTGCTTTGAGATCTTTTGGATGAGCTATTTTGTACATAAAGTACGTACATTCCAGGTGAGGGGGGAGGAGTGAGTAGGGGCAAAGGGAAAGCTACAACTGCTTTGAGAAAAATCTGCCAAAATTCTATTACACTAGTTGTCAGACATTTTACCCTGAAGAGAAGTTTTCCACTGGTCACCATGAACTAAGAGCTCCACAAACTTGATGCAATTTGTGCAAACTGTGTATATTTTTATCTTTTCAGTTGACAAATATAATCAGATAATACATTTAACTCAAAATGCTACTATGGAATTGCATATGGAAAAAAACCTAAAAACTTGCAGTATCGTCTTACTTTTCAAGGATCTCAGAGCTCTTGATAAAATAAAATAAGTCTGAATATAAAAATGGAGGCAGCACAGAGCATGAGAGACTTGCCCAAAGTCATACAGCAAAACACTGATATAGATGGATACAGGACCCGGGAGTCAGACTCTCAGTCACTTGTGTGGTCTAAAGTAAATTGCTACCCCCCTACCCAAATTTTACCTTGGATGCACAGGAAACACCATATGCCTCATACTGGTTTGATGAAAGTAGTATGTTTGTGGCATCTGATATAAAACACTAATCAGCAATAAATGTACCACAGACCACAACCAAGTCAAAACACCTGAACCCAGGGGAAGGTTTTTCCTTTTTGATTCCTGCTTTCTCAATGTCTAATTTGCAAGGGCAAAGTCACTCACTCAGTCTCAAACTAGATCATGTTATTTTTCAAAAAGGTGTTAAAATTTCAGAACAGCATAAGAGAAAAACAGTTTCCACCATTTGCATCTGCAAATCAGTTCATGGAACTGGTTTTAAGTTCACAAATCTCAGTGGAAAAAGACAATTACGGACTATGCTCAGAAGCCTCAAGAATGGATGCTCAAAACAAATAAGCCAAACTATATATTCATTTACTAATCATGTTAGAGTGGGAAATGAAGTACATCACAAAAGAAGACTCCAGATTTTAATACGCCTCCAAAGAGCCATTCACTGATAAATGCCCCCCCCCCCTTTTAAAAAGTTTCATAATAAAGTAAAAGGACAGAAATCTAGCACTGGTAAACCTTTCAATACCAGGCATTTTTCTAGCTCATCCCAGCAAACATTAACCCTAAAATTTAAGAGTGAAAGAAGTTCAATTTTTAAACAATTGAATTACCAAAGGGATATAAGACTACCAACAACAGAACCAATCAGTGCCAAATATGGTAGAATATCATCAAAGACACCTTGTCTACTGAGACCTTGAAATGAGATCATGAGCTTGGTTCAAAGAAAAAAAGTCACCAGATGGCAATGGCTTTTGGTTGTTATGAACCCAGTGTGAATTTGAACTGATGGCTTCTAATGGAAGTTCTGTTTCCCCCCCTTGATTAATATTTGTGTATAGTTCCACAAATGTGCAAGGAATGTTAGAGACACATTAGATGAAGGGCCTGCCTAAGCTGAGTCAAAGCTTTACTTGGTGAAGCTGAGAAGAGGGAAGGACAAAGGAGACTTTTAACCACCTACCATTTCTCTGTCTGTGGCACAGCAGGGTCTGATTTAGACCCAATTTTATCTTAGAGCAACCTACACCTGCTTAGGCCTCTCCCAAAAAGTAGGGGACAGGAGTGATGGTAGAGAGTACCCTATGCCAGCTCAGCTTCAACCATTCCCTGTTCCAGGGGAATCCTCAGTCATTCAGCACAGCTTCAAGACCCTTTTTGTTCCAAATTTTGTGTCAAAGGCTTTTGTGGAAGGTAGAATCTGGTTTATGGTTCTTACACTAGAGAGTCCATACTTCATTTTTTGCAGGCCAAGTTTCTTTTTCATAGATCCTTCTTACCTCCAGAGAATACTTTTGTGTTGCCACTGTTGAAAGCCAGGCAAAAGATGTTAGAATGATGCTCCCCTTTCAGCTGAACTGGTTTGACTCTGGAGTGGATGGCTTCTTCCATTTGCCAAAGCAGTACCCGGCGGTCATCCCCTCCTTTAAAAAGGAAGGAAAATCTGTGTTACAACATTAACTACATGTGAAGTGGTGGAGGACAGAAACAAGGGAATCAACACCGTGAATATTCATGCAAAGCCTTACATGAATTAATGGAAGACTTGGAATAAAATCCTAAAAACACCTCAGAACACAAGCATAATAAAATTTATGAAGAGAAAACATAGGAAAAAAGTAGATTAAGTCTAAAATGTTGAATGCTTTCATTTTTGGGATGCAGCATGCCATGCTTCCTGCATCAATGGATATGGTCAACCTGTAGATAACAGGAGAGATTTTCATACCTGGTCTGGACTAAAAAATGATGTTGTCATAGCTACATTAGTTAGAAGTCCAAAAAATACATCACCCCTAATCAATATGTGCTAGTAGAAATCCTCCCTACATTGACAAAAGTTCTATTAGTAAAATGAATTTACAAAACACCTTTCATAGATGAGCCTATGAACTTCACTTTATCAACCCCCTGGACACAAAAAAGATGGACTAAATTTAGACATTGGCTTTATGATACATTATAGCCTGCTTGACATCTGACTCCCCAGATACCTCTCCACTATTTACCTGCTACATTCTCCGTACCTATCCCCCCACCCACCTGTGTCTCACCCACTGACTCCTCACTAGTCTCTGCCTTCTTTACTATTCATTCCATCCAAGAAGAGCACACACCAACTACAGACGCTTCCTCGGCCTGATGAAGGGTTTTTAAACCGAAAGCTTGCTAAGAAAAATGTTTCCAATTATTTAGTTGGTCTAATAAAAGATATCAGATTTATCCAAAGAACCTCGCCTGCCATTAGTAAAAAGACTAATTTCACCATATAACTTATGTCATTTAAGATGCTGATTTAATAAACACTTGCAAAAAGAGTTATTTTCCTGCTATCAGCTACATCCCTACAAGGAGACTTTGCCAGTCCTGGAAGATTTTAAACAATATTCATCAACCTGTCCTATAAACCTATGGTTAGCTATGCAAAGCTTTAAGAGTTCTAGATTCGTAAAAGATTAAAATGCATTTGTGGTGAATACCTGTCTGAGGTCAGTTAGTAGGGAAAAATAACAAAGTTCTGTACTTAAGTCCATTTTCCTTCAGAGCTCATTATGTTTTTGACCAGTGGTGCTGAACCTATGGCCCACAGGCTGGATGTGGCCTGCAAAACCGGTGTGAACAGCCCATCACTGTGTCAGTGTGGCTTCTAAGTCTACAAGGAGCAATGTGAGCTCATTAGTACGTCAGCGTGAGCTATGGCCACAGCCACTACTTTTGCGTGACTGGATAAACAGGCCATCTTTTGTCCCCTCTTTCTCCCCTGCCACAGCAGAGAAAGAGAGGGGACGAGCAGCGGCAGCGCTTATCCCCTGGACTCTGGAACCATGCAAATGCAGTGGCTCTGGCCAGTCCACACTAACAACTGGTGAGCTTAGAAAGCTCACCATGTACACAGAACTCCAACAATGTTTTTCAGCCCATTTCTAAAATTCTGATTTTATTATTTGTCCTGCTTGTAAAAAAAAGGTTGAGCACCACTGCTTTTAACAATTATCTTAATAAGCCATTCATTAAAAAAAAACAACACACGATGGTCTGCCAGACAGATGAGAGAAGAAACCTGGCAAGGAAAGAAATATTTTAATATAAAATTTGGGTTTCTAGAAACAACATTAATGATTATTATTAAGAAAAAAAATAGTCAGGAAATAATTGTACTTCGCAGTGCTCTCTGAACACGGACTTCCAATGAAAAGTACCTGTATGAATATTGGGATATGAAGATGCTTCAAAAAAGACGCATACACAAGCATGCTCAGCTCATAATAAATTTTGGTGGGGATTTTTACTATGTGAACAAAACAGGATGGCATCAGAAGTTAGGCAGGTCATTACATTTAGAAGAGTTTTGGTTACCAGATTTTAATATTTCCTTGTATGATCAGAAACCCAAGCACAGACTTTGGACTATTGTGTGGGAGGAGAAAGGTACAAAACACAGGCACATACAGGAGGGAAGAGAACTAGACAGGTCTGTTTCTTACCAACTAAACACGGTTAAATACATAAATGCATTGTACATGCATTGAATGTGAAGCAACACACTCCAGTGCTTATTGCACTGGACTGTATTGCTTCCAGGCACGCTGTTTGAATGTGTGCCTGGGACTACAGCATGTTTAGTGGGGTTGGAGTAGCCTCAGCTGGCAGGGGAGTTAAGGGGGGAGGGGAAGGACGGGGGAGAGAAGAGGAGGAGGGGTCAGCCTGCCAGTCTGGGGCTGTTCCAACCCAGTTCAATGTGATGTAGAGGGGCTGGCTGGGGCATGAAGGTATCCTAGTACAGGGCTAGCCAGCAGGCAGCCCCCGTACTGAAGCACCCTTGTGCCCCAGTCAGCTAGGTTAGCATCTACAGGCACGCTGCTGTGGAGTAAGAAACTCTGCAGAAGGATAGTACTTATTTACTACTATTTACAATTATTACCCTGCTGTAGAGCTTATTAGTTTACTCCACCCTAACGGCCCTGCATATGTAGATGGCAAGATGTTTTCTGCAAAGGTAATTAGCATACTCTACAATAAACATCTCATATAGACCTACCCACAATAAATAAATAAAGATAATCAGATTTGTTAAAATGTTTAGTGTCATATGACACTATTAGTAAGGACCTTTGCCCATATGGGATTCCATAGTGTCAAGCATTCTTTAAGAAATTTAACAGTTGAGAGATTGGGAATTTTAGATTTTGGAAAAAATCACTATGATGGGCCATACAGTTGTATCCAGTGGTTCCATACTACGTATAAGCTTCTTGGGGCAAGGAACAAGTTGTCCTTTATTTTTGTACAAAAAGATGACATTGGTTAGAGTTGTAATGCATCTGATGATGAGTGGGCACTGGTGTCAAATGCATAACATGTCCAGTTAAACTGCAGTTAAATTATATTCAACTGTAAGCCAAGATGAGCTTGAATTTTTGTTGGTTGGAAATTTAGCATAGACAGCTCAATAAGCATGCTCCAGTATTATCATCTGAGTGATTAATAAGTAGATGTGTGTATGTATTCAGTAGTCCACTGAAAGACATGAAGGTAAGGAAACATGGCAGTCACTGACCCTTTTAAAATAGTTTCAGAGCTGAGAGCTATTGTCAAAGTGTCAACAACATGCTTTAGTTGTCAATAGCCAAAGAATTTCTCTCTCAAGCGTTTTGTACATAAGGATGGTTATCACTATAGTATGTTATTTCTTTCGGATCATATTCCTTAACATACACACTCTAAGGAAGACCTTAGAGAGAGTCAAAAATATAGAAGTCTATTGTGGGAGCAGTATGGCATCTAAAAAAGTAACCACCACCACCTCTCCATTTTTGCCTCGTTCTCCAATTTGAATGGCATCAAATTAAGATTCTCACAAACTCTATTTGGTCACTGAAACCCATGTCCTATAAACACAACCTTTAAAAAGAGGAAGTCACCAGTTAAGGCACGATTTACATTCCTTGCAGCCTCAACTCACATCTTTGCAGCTAAATAATAAGATGTCTATGGTCACAAAGTTCTCAGCTCTACACCACTCCCTTTCACTGTCAGCATACAACCAGTTCAGCTCTGACAGATAGGATGATGGTTATTGTAACATAAGTATTCGAGCATGGAAGTCTCTGCAGGCCTTTGCACGTATGGTGCACATGCTAGAAGGGAAAGGAACTACACAACCTGCCTGAGATAGTGTCTTTTAGCCCTGTAACAAGTTAACATTTTAAACATTGAAGTGTTATGTGGCCTTTTTATCCCATCTCCTGTCTCCTCTGTGCATCTTTTCCTATCCCTGTCCTCTGCAGGCCCCCTCTATGACTCCTGCAAACTCTCAGTTATTTGAGCCTCTCCCTTAAGAGGAAATTGCAGACCTGCTCAAGTTTGGTACAAAAAATACTATCATGGAATACATAGTAATTGCACCAGTCTGAAGAACCACATTTGTCAAATGGAAGAGGTGCCTTATGGCAGAACTATAGACTCCACTCAAGACAAACATGTACCTCTACCCATTTCTCTATCCACTCCTTGCACCATATTGCCTACAACTCTGGCAACTAGAGCATTAGAACCAGATATCTGTATCATAGGCTAGCACCTCAATCAATGGGTATTCCTTGCCACCAGGACATGGTAGGAATTAGGCAAAGGATTTTAGATCGGTATGTAAAACTACCCTAGAAATGCCTCTTATAGATTCTCAATAAAGGCAATTCTGCTGTGGCACACAACAGGAAAGTCATAGTCAGCAGATGGAGGCCCCTGTTCCCAAAACTTGTAAGGCAAAGAGAAATAGAGAGAACATGGATGAATGGAGGAACAGTACAGAGTAAACTAAGGTTTAGAAGTAGCAGGAGCTAGATGGTAACCAAGAGGGGACTGCATCAGAATAAGCAAGGAAGGCTATGTCAAAAACATCACTTCTTTAAAGATGATGATTTCTCACTGGCTAACATGGTAAAAAACACACAATCTTTTTTGACTTCCCATCTGTTCTACAAGATTTTAATATACTGACACTTTCTGGAGCCCAAGGCCCCGTAATAAGATTTGGATGTTACAGAACTTGAGCAGAATATCTTCAAAAGTTGCAGGAAGTTTGGGGGGGGGTTATTTTTATTGTGCAAGGAAACATCTACAGAGTGCAAGAAATATTTAGAATTTTAAGAAATTTGTCCTGAACTGTTCACCTTTGAGAACAATTTCTGTGACTGGCACCCCACATGAAATGGAAATTTCAAAACACAATCTACCCATCAGTTACTAAGATCTCTCTCTAATTCTGACCCCATCTCTTCTAGAGTGGTAGTTGGAATCATTAATAGATGCACACCAGCACTATTTACTGTCTCATGATACGAGTAGAGTTGTTTTTTAAGTAAAGCATAGCTTTCTTGATGAAGATTCCTTCCTGAGCTGACATTTGCTACGCTGATTCTCA